AACGAAAAACAACGAACAACAGCAATGATGATCATCATTGAAATGATCATCATCGTTGATCAAACACACAGACTGAGAATTGAATTGTTGTTCAAGTTTTTCGTGTTTTTTCACTGTATTAGAATAAAATTTCCATCTTTTTCAACTTCAGCAACGATACAAACGTTTGTCAGTTTTCTTCATATATTCGCTGTTGATTATGTCCTCATATTTTTGTCGATTTTTATATCCATATCCATAACTATATATGAATTTCAAACTAGATAAACAAATGCAAAGTCCAAAAAAAAGAAAATGATGATCCAGAAAGAAAAAGAAAAAAACTTTAATTTCCCACGTGTATCATAAAATGAACATAGCACATCCATATTTGCTTTTGCATCTATAGTTGTCGATTCATGCGATTCATTTTTTGTTTCGATCCAGATGGAAAAAATATTGTTTTTTTCATCCATATTGCTGCATTTGCAGAATAAGAAAATTCACGACAATATTTCTGCCAAAACAAAGAAAAACAAACAAAAATCATCAATATCATCGAATGATGATGAAGCGCTTTGGACAACAAAACAAAAAAAATGAAAATGAAATGAAAAATCATTTTTCTTTACCCGAACAAATTATTACGATGACGACAATGATAACATTGATATTGTATTAATTGTTTTCGATATATGATTTTGTTTGTTTGTTTGTTTTTGCTTTTTTGGATTGATGAGAAATATATGTGGCTTCTTCGTTATTTCGTAAAATTTGCTACATTTTTTTCCTTCCCAAACGATGATTGTACAAATGTTGATCGAATCAATCATAAAAACCAAGTGAAAAAAAATGGAAAAAAAACAAACTTTTAACGACAATAATTTTGTTACACAAAAGCAAACAAACAAATGATGATCATCATCATCGTTTTCAATCAAAAAAAAAAAAAAAAAAATAAAGTGAAAAGAATGATTTCCGTTTGTGATTTTTTTTCTGTTTGCAGAAAACTTTCAAATATTTATTTTTTAAAACTTTGAAGATTTTTTTTGAGAAAATCAAAAAAAATCTACCAACACAGAAAGTGATGGGTTATTTTTAATTTTTTATTCTATTAACACAGACGCACACACAAGGCTAAATATAAAAAAAAAGAAATTAATTTAGTGTAGTTTTTTGTTGATGAAACGTGATCAAAATAACATTTTGTTCAAAAACCAGTGTAAATTACAATTGGAAAATTGTAAATTATGAAATTGTTTTGCTGCTTTCTTGACCTATCTAACTTGGTAGTTTTTTTTCTGAAATTTTCAATAAATTGACAACGTTAAAAAACGGTTTATTTATTTTATCTTCCAATTTTTCCAATTTTTGCATAATTGAAAAAAAGGATTCATAAACCCTTGTTTGTGTGCCAGTGTTAAGTGTGTCCGGTAAGTTTTGTCCAAGATATTATTGTTTATCACCCGATTTTCATTGATTCTAATTTATGTTTTTTTTTTGGTTTATTATTATCATTTTCGTCGGTCAGAAAAAAAAATTTAATGCTTGGCTGAGCCAGCTAAAAAAAAAGTTGAATTTTTTCTTTCTCCATGTTATTACCAGAAAGAAATGATATTCAATTCTTTATTATTTAAAGTCTATTTAGACTTTTATCGTCAGGATTTACTTTTTTGATATTTTTCTCTCACTCTGAAATCATCATATTAAATATATGTGAGTGAAAATAAAGAGACAGTAAGATTTTCCTTCCTTAAAAAAATTTCTCACTTTCTCAATGTATGATTCTTCTTCACTGTTTGTTTGTTGGCAATTCAGAATTTTCTTCTTTCTGCAAAATCAAAACTAATTTATTGGCTAAACATGAATGGCTATTGAACACACCGTCTTGGAATCATAAATTGGATGACCATTTCGATATTTTTTATTTATTTTTTCTTTCCTTTTTTGATTTTCACTGTAATCGAAATCCAGAAAACCATGAAAGTTTTTGGCCTGAATCAGAGTTTTGTATCGAATTCAATGATGATAATGCCGCCCGTTGTTTCGACCATCATTGTTTTTATCATCGTAATATTTTATGCATAGAATTCGGCTATCGTTTTGTTTTTGTTGTTTTGGTTGACAAAACAAAAAAAAAATCGTAATCATCATTCAATTCAAAACACACAGACAGTGAATCCAACAGTTGATTGAAATCGATTTTTCTGTTCACCAAGGACAATCAAATCAAATCCAATCAAAACACACACATATTGTGTTTGCATTTTCTTGTTTTTTTTTTTGCTACTGGATGATGAAAATTTCAATGAATAATTGAAAAAATTGATCAAATACTGGAATTGAATTTATTTGAAATTATTTTCTACGAACTGAAAACAAACTGATTCAAAATGGAATTCTTTGTTCAATGTTTGATTAATTGATAATCTTTTTTTTTCTTCCAAATATTCATCAATTTTCTTGTATTGAAAAATCGTTAGATTTTCCTTTCTAACAATATTAACCATTCGAAAAAAAGAAATGATTTCGAAACAAACCAAAAATGAAAAAAATCCCCTTTACAAATTTGAAAAAAAATTGTCCAGATTTTCTATTTTCCAACCAAAACCAAACATATATAAAATGTTGAATGAAATTCAAACAGCCAAAGAGAGAAAAAATGAAAAATTAAATTTTTCTTCTTCTTCTTTTCCTTTGTATTTGATCGATCTGTGTAAATCGTATGTTTTTTTATTTATTTGCCCATGATCAACCATTAATCTACAATGATCTTTTGATGATGATGATGATGATGATGGTTGAACTAAATTGAAAATTGAAATCGATTCATTCAATTCATTCACCATATGTATGTCGACATAGCCGATTCTTTCCCTTTCCCTTTTTTTCGTTGTTTGTCATTTACAACCACAGAAAATAATCATCCATTGTCGAATAGGAATGAAAAAAATACAGTAAAAAACCCCAATCGACTAAAAGAATTTTTTAGCGATCAAAACCCACAGCAAACAAACAACATATGAAAACATGAATCAATCGAGCTTTTACCGCATAATAATAATCAAAATACAAACAAACAAAAAAAAATGCTTTCGTTTGCAAGGTTTGTTTGCCGACTATTTTTTATTATTATTTTTGGTTCAAGCAATGGAAAAAATCGAATCAATTCTCCAACAACAAGCAAAAAAAATCAGTTATTGAGTTTGATGATGATGAATAAAATAAAGAAGAAGAACAAATCGAGAATATAGTAGAATTAGAATAAATGCAAGATGAGCTTTTTTTTCTCTCGATTTCAAACGACAACAACAACTGAAAAAATGTAAAATCGATTAATGACGATCAATGACAAAATGATAATAATAATAATAATGATGATAACGATTTTTTTTGTTATACTGGATATGTCTCTTTTTGTATAAAATAAAAAATCGAAATTACAAGTGAAAAACAAATTATTATTATTGTTTGTTTTGTTTTTGAAAAAATCTTATGATTTTTGCAAATGATTCCTGTAGGAAAAAAATATGCTTGTTTTTCCTTTTGTTGTTTTTTTTTTCTTTTGCAAAATGGGAAAATCTGTTTCAATTCAATTCAATCAATGATGGCATATTTAAATTTTTGGTGACATTTTCAATCTTTAATCTAGGAAACTAGATGGCAGCACAATGGTTTTATTTATCCATTAATTATCGATTTTTGTTTTTCAAATGTTGAATCTTCGAAAACCAGAAAAAAACCCCAAAATCAACAACAACTTTGAGAAAGATATTCATTTGAAAACAATACGTTTATCACTATGTTTTTTTATTATTATTTGTTCAATATTTGTTTTTTTTTTGTGAAAACAGTTAATCAATTAACTATTTTCTTCGATAATTAGCTCTGATTAATTAATTATAATTATAATTATAATAATTATTTTTTTTAATTTTACAAATAAAAATTATATAATTATTTTTGTCATTTTTTTTTTGTTTTGTTTTTTGGTTTATAAGTCGATATTACAATTACAATAATAAATAACAATAATTATAATTTCATTCAAATGTCTGAAAGACTATATTGACTGTATGTTTGTGTTTGAAAAAAAAAACAGAATTTTCTATTATAAATGATTGTTTGTTTGTTTTTACTTGTTTTTGGTTAACTGTTTGTTATTGAATATGTTTGTGTGGAGAATGTGATATTTAGATTTAGATTAAGATCTGAGATTTTGTTTACATTTTTAAAATTATTATGTTTGGTTGTTTCGAAAAAATAACTATCACTTGTCATCAATGTTTGTGTCAGCGTGTGTGAGAGAGATATTTCCCCCCCCCCAAAAAAAGATAATAATTACGGTTATCACTATTTTATTGAAAACCAGAAAAAAAATAAAAATAAAAATACTGACTATAATAAAGAAATATTGTTTTTTGATAATACTTTCTGTTGTTGTTGTTATTGTTGATCATGTTTGGATTATTCTAACAAAAAAAAAACAAAAAATCTGATTCTGATGTCGATTCTGTATACAATCGTTATGTACACCGGCATTGCGGTTTTCAGTGAAAAAGAAAAATAAATTTCAAATAACAAGTTAAAAGTTGATAATAACAACAACAGAAAAATTAAAATGCAATAAAGGCATCACTGATTAGTTTTCTTTTCTTAAGTGTATTCTTTGTTTTGTTTTGTTTGAGATAATCATTATGGCTATATAGAAAAGAGAGTAAAGAAATGACATTCTGAACAACAAAAAAAATGATTGAAGATGTTTAAAACAACAACAATATTATAATAACAAAGAAAGCAACAAAAAAAAAAATTTTAACAATAATAATATCTTTAACATGAACATTTTCCATAATACTGTGAGCATTTTAGGTTTTCGTTTTTGTTTTGTTTTGTTTGTTTGTCAAAAAAGAAAAGATAACTGATTTTGATGATTGAAACTTTTATCAAAAAAAAAATTGTAATTAAGAAATTAGCCATATTTTATTCGGATTATTGATTCTAAAATGATGATGATTTAAATGGTTGATACATAATCGTATACTTTGTGTCTGTGTTATATGTTTGTATGATTTTTTTCCCCAGTTGAGATTGTGGTTAATTAATTTGTTTCTACTTTTCTCTATTGATTTTCGCCATCAAGTGCTTCCAAATATTTATTGTCGATCACAATTGGTACTATTTTATGTCTGTAAATATATCAAAAAAAAGATGATTATTTTTTGAAAATAATTTTCATTCATCACATATTACCTGAATGGTAACAAAAGTATGACAATAACCGGAAAAACCATTTTTATATATGGCCATGGTGAAAAACCAAAAAAACACATTAAGCCTAATTGTACCATTTGACATAATGTAAATAAATGAATTTTTCTTTGTGGACATCTTCGTATATAATGATTTGGTGGATAGGCTGCCTTTTTTTTAATAATGAAAACATTGATGTAATTGATTTATATTAGTTATATAATCATATATTGTTATAATTTTTTTTGGTTACATACTTGTTCCATAAATAATAATGTAATACGTTCAAACATTTGATTGCCACT